TGATTAAGGGGATATTCTTTAAATGATGGTATAGGACATGTACACGTTGATTAAGAGGATATTCTTTAAATGATGGTATAGGACATGTACACGTTGATTAAGGGGATATTCTTTAAATGATGGTATAGGACATGTAGACGTTGATTAGGGGGATATTCTTTAAATGATGGTATGGGACATGTACACGTTGATTAAGGGGATATTCTTTAAATGATGGTATAGGACATGTACACGCTGATTAAGAGGACATTCTTTAAATGATGCTATAGGACATGTACATGTTGGGGATATTCTTTAAATTATCGTATAGGACATGTACACGTTGATTAAAGGGATATTCTTTAAATGATGGTATAGGACATGTACACGTTGATTAAGGGGACATTCTTTAAATGATGGTATAGGACATGTACACGTTGATTAAGAGGATATTCTTTAAATGATGGTATAGGACATGTACACGTTGATTAAGGGGATATTCTTTAAATGATGGTATAGGACATGTACACGTTGATTAAGGGGACATTCTTTAAATGATGGTATAGGACATGTACACGTTGATTAAGAGGATATTCTTTAAATGATGGTATAAACATGTACACGTTGATTAAGAGGATATTCTTTAAATGATGGTATAGGACATGTACACGTTGATTAAGGGGATATTCTTTAAATGACATGTACACGTTGATTAAGGGGATATTCTTTAAATGATGGTATAGGACATGTACACGTTGATTAAGGGGATATTCTTTAAATGATGGTATAGGACATGTACACGTTGATTAAGAGGATATTCTTTAAATGATGGTATAGGACATGTACATGTTGATTAAGAGGATATTCTTTAAATGATGGTATAGGACATGTACGTGTTGATTAATGGGATATTCTTTAAATGATGGTATGGGACATGTACACGTTGATTAAGGGGATATTCTTTAAATGATGGTATAGGACATGTACACGTTGATTAAGGGAATATTCTTTAAATGATGGTATGGGACATGTACACGTTGATAAAGGGGATATTCTTTAAATGATGTATAAGACATGTACACGTTGATTAAGGGGATATTCTTTAAATGATGGTATAGGACATGTACACGTTGATTAAGGGGATATTCTTTAAATGATGGTATAGGACATGTACACGTTGATTAAGAGGATATTCTTTAAATGATGGTATAGGACATGTACATGTTGATTAAGAGGATATTCTTTAAATGATGGTATAGGACATGTACACGTTGATTAAGGGGATATTCTTTAAATGATGGTATAGGACATGTACACGTTGATTAAGGGGATATTCTTTAAATGATGTATAGGACATGTACACGTTGATTAAGGGGATATTCTTTAAATGATGGTATAGGACATGTACACGTTGATTAAGGGGATATTCTTTAAATGATGGTATGGGACATGTACACGTTGATAAAGGGGATATTCTTTAAATGATGTATAGGACATGTACACGTTGATTAAGGGGATATTCTTTAAATAATGGTATAGGACATGTACACGTTGATTAAGGGGATATTCTTTAAATTATCGTATAGGACATGTACACGTTGATCAAGGGGATATTCTTTAAATGATGGTATAGGACATGTACACGTTGATTAAGGGGATATTCTTTAAATGATGGTATAGGACATGTACACGTTGATTAAGGGGATATTCTTTAAATTATCGTATAAGCATGTACACGTTGATTAAGGGGATATTCTTTAAATGATGGTATAGGACATGTACACGTTGATTAAGGGGATATTCTTTAAATGATGGTATAGGACATGTACACGTTGATTAAGGGGATATTCTTTAAATGATGTATAGGACATGTACACGTTGATTAAGGGGATATTCTTTAAATGATGGTATAGGACATGTACACGTTGATTAAGGGGATATTCTTTAAATGATGGTATGGGACATGTACACGTTGATAAAGGGGATATTCTTTAAATGATGTATAGGACATGTACACGTTGATTAAGGGGATATTCTTTAAATAATGGTATAGGACATGTACACGTTGATTAAGGGGATATTCTTTAAATTATCGTATAGGACATGTACACGTTGATCAAGGGGATATTCTTTAAATGATGGTATAGGACATGTACACGTTGATTAAGGGGATATTCTTTAAATGATGGTATAGGACATGTACACGTTGATTAAGGGGATATTCTTTAAATGATGGTATAGGACATATACATGTTGATTAAGGGGATATTCTTAAAAATGATGGTATAGAAACATGTACACGTTGATTAAGAGGATATTCTGTAAATGGTGGTATAGGGCATGTACATGTTGATTAAGGGGGTATTCCTAAAAATGATGGTATAGGACATGTACACGTTGATTAAGGGGATATTCTTTAAATAATGGTATAGGACATGTACACGTTGATTAAGGGGATATTCTTTAAATTATCGTATAGGACATGTACACGTTGATCAAGGGGATATTCTTTAAATGATGGTATAGGACATGTACACGTTGATTAAGGGGATATTCTTTAAATGATGGTATAGGACATGTACACGTTGATTAAGGGGATATTCTTTAAATGATGGTATAGGACATATACATGTTGATTAAGGGGATATTCTTAAAAATGATGGTATAGAAACATGTACACGTTGATTAAGAGGATATTCTTTAAATAATGGTATAGGACATGTACACGTTGATTAAGGGGATATTCTTTAAATTATCGTATAGGACATGTACACGTTGATCAAGGGGATATTCTGTAAATGGTGGTATAGGGCATGTACATGTTGATTAAGGGGGTATTCCTAAAAATGATGGTATAGGACATGTACACGTTGATTAAGGGGATATTCTTTAAATGATGGTATAGGACAGATACACGTTGATTAAGAATATATTTTTTAAATGATGGTATAGGACATGCACATGTTGATTAAGAAGATATTCTTTAAATGATGGTATAGGACATGTACACGTTGATTAAGGGGATATTCTTTAAATGATGGTATAGGACATGTACACGCTGATTAAGAGGACATTCTTTAAATGATGGTATAGGACATGTACATGTTGGGGATATTCTTTAAATTATCGTATAGGACAGATACACGTTGATTAAGGGGATATTCTTTAAATGATGTATAGGACATGTACATGTTGATTAAGAAGATATTCTTTAAATGATGGTATAGGACATGCACATGTTGATTAAGAAGATATTCTTTAAATGATGGTATAGGACATGTACACGTTGATTAAGAGGATATTCTTCAAATGATGGTATAGGACATGTACATGTTGATTAAGGGGATATTCTTTAAATGATGGTATAGGACATGTACACGTTGATTAAGGGGATATTCTTTAAATGATGGTATAGGACAGATACACGTTGATTAAGAGGATATTCTTTAAATGAAGGTATAGGACTTGTACACGTTGATTAAGGGGATATTCTTTAAATGAAGGTATAGGACATGTACACGTTGATTAAGGGGATATTCTTTAAATGATGGTATAGGACATGTACACGTTTATTAAGGGGATATTCTTTAAATGATGGTATATGACATGGACATGTTGATTAAGGGGGTATTCTTTAAATGATGGTATAGGACATGTACATGTTGATTAAGGAGATATTCTTTAAATGATGGTATAGGACATGTACGCGTTGATTAAGGGGATATTCTTTAAATGATGGTATGGGACATGTACGCGTTGATTAAGGGGATATTCTTTAAATGATGGTATGGGACATGTACGCGTTGATTAAGGGGATATTCTTTAAATGATGGTATAGGACATGTACATGTTGATTAATCGGATATTCTTTAAATGATGTATAGGACATGTACACGTTGATTAAGAGGATATTCTCTAAATGATGGTATGGGACATGTACAAGTTGATTAAGAGAATATTCTTTATATGATGGTATAGGACATGTACACGTTGATTAAGAGGATATTCTTTATATGATGGTATAGGACATGTACACGTTGATTAAGGGGATATTCTTTAAATGATGTATAGGACATGTACACGTTGATTAAGAGGATATTCTCTAAATGATGGTATGGGACATGTACAAGTTGATTAAGAGAATATTCTTTATATGATGGTATGGGACATGTACAAGTTGATTAAGAGAATATTCTTTATATGATGGTATAGGACATGTACACGTTGATTAAGAGGATATTCTCTAAATGATGGTATAGGACATGTACATGTTGATTAAGGGGATATTCTTTAAATGATGGTATAGGACATGTACACGTTGATTAAGAGGATATTCTTTAAATGATGTATAGGACATGTACACGTTGATTAATGGGACATTCTTTAAATGATAGTATAGGACATGGACATGTTGATTAAGGGGATATTCTTTAAATGATGGTATAGGACATGTACATGTCGATTAAGAGGATATTCTTTAAATGATGTATAGGACATGTACACGTTGATTAAGGGGATATTCTTTAAATGATGGTATAGGACATGTACATGTTGATTAAGGGGATATTCTTTAAATGATGTATAGGACATGTACATGTTGATTAAGGGGGTATTCTTTAAATGATGTATAGGACATGTACTTGTTTATTAAGAGGATATTCTTTAAATGATGGTATAGGACATGTACACGTTGATTAAGGGGATATTCTTTAAATGATGGTATAGGACATGTACATGTTGATTAAGGGGATATTCTTTAAATGATGTATAGGACATGTACATGTTGATTAAGGGGATATTCTTTAAATGATGTATAGGACATGTACATGTTGATTAAGGGGATATTCTTTAAATGATGTATAGGACATGTACATGTTGATTAAGAGGATATTCTTCAAATGATGGTATAGGACATGTACATGTTGATTAAGGGGGTATTCTTTAAGAAAGGAACACAGTACGATATGTTCATTAAGGTCTTGTAAATCATCAAATTAAAAAAAAGTATAATCTAACATTTGTTACTCACCCCAGCCAATGATGTAATACCAAGCAAGATTTGTTGGTACTTTAAAAGCATGTAACACCAGTCTGTGTAAGTAATAACCTTCGCAAAACATCCAGAAATAGTTACTTGAATTAGCATATCGGTTAAATGTGTATAAAACACGACAAAATATCTGTAAAATTATAGAAAAAAGAACAAAATTTTTTAAAAGTTACATGACGACGAATCAAGGTATCATACAAGATGACATTTGGTGGGATTATAATGCTCTTATTATGGATTAGTCGTCAACAGGTATAATCTAAGGTAAGGTAGCCAAAAATATAAATGGTGGACAGCTTAAAATCCAGAAGGGTCTTAATAGAACACAATATAGTGCCACCTTTGCCGCTGTCAAACCAATAGCTTTAATACAATAACATTTAAAAGTGTTATTGAAATGTAAGAGCGTTGACCAATAAATCTCATTTTCGTAAAAAACTGTGCACGGTCAATGCTTTACATTTGTATGCTACAACCATGAAATTATGGTTTATGTTAACATTTCGTTTGTTTGCATATGTATTGTTCTGTCGTGGCCATGGGAAGCACGTGCATTCACTAATGATTCATTTTATTGGGGGAAAATATAATTTTGGAATTCCCCGCGATTGTTCTCTATCAATCAAAATTACGGATTCTTTTGAAAAAAGCTTAATGTAATGTACAATTCTATGAAATACACATTTACAGAATAACTACACATTGTCTCAAAATATAACATTTTTCTGCACAAGGTTTAGAGACAGTTAAAATGTGCAGCTTTTCGCAAATAGCACAGTTGAAGTATGAATAATTTTAAATATTCTAATACCGAAGGATTTGCTACTGTGTGGGTTGTTTCCTCGGTGACTGATAGTCCAGCAGCCGCTGTACCGACCTAGCGGTAGTAAAGGAATGTCACATATGATATGATGTCCGTTGTCTCTGGTGGAGAGTTGTCTCATTGGCAATCATACCACATCTTCTTATTTTCATATAAACAGCGGATGATGCTGCAAGTTGTTTAACATTTTCAGAGTACAGTGTTTGGAATGCCAAAAATATCAATATTAAATCGCTCAGCTTTAAACCGTTTTTAAGTGTTCGCATATCAAAATGACATGGGGAAAGGGACAAAGGAAGCAATTTTATTTTATTTTTTCAAGAAGAAAGTTAGAATTATTTATTTATTTTAGAAATGATAATTTCACACTTTAAAATAAAAAAAAAAAACCAATTTATTTTACCATGTACATCTATGATACAAAGCGTGACAGTCCTTACTACTTATGAATTTCTATTTGTGATTTTCACATACTTAAATGATTTAAAGTATCTTTTGTTCATTGAGTATATGTTTTTTTTTTTTATCTTTCGTTGACAATTACGTCTTCATGAAGTAACAATTAGACAGTCATCTTCTGTATTGTAACCTGTCCTTAATTTCGACTAAAACCCTAGTATAACATTGATATAATTAATTCAAAAATAATAAATTACTGTATTCTGTTGCATTCTAGTCTTTGATGCCGGATTGTCCAGACGATCATTGTATATAAATATGTCCCACATCAACGTTGTAACACAAGTCACGATGAAAGATAAAAATAAACAAAGATGAAGACGGATTCTATTCTGAGTTCTCAATTGTCTGTAATATAAACAGAATAATATTATAGCAGGTGTAAAACTTTTAACCTCCAATAGATACACATATTTTAAAACTGTATCTGGATATATAATTCCATGATTTCGTATCACCATGAACGACATGGGCATGTTCTTAATTTTTGCCGGCATTCAAAATATCTGTACTGAAATTGATAAATGTGAATGACCATCTAATCAGCATTAATTGGTAATTTTCTTTTGATATTATAATTGTATCTACTAAGATCAATTTCAGAATATACGCAATCTGTTTTGAAAGGAATAAAAGGATGTGGAATTAATGCCAATAAGACAACAACCTAGAAACACAAAATGTTTAATTAACACCCATCTAGAGGTCAACATCCGGTCTTTAACAATGAACAAGTTCCAAAAATGTGGCAAGCTCTAAATCGCCCAGTTCTTTTCTCAATGCTCCCATATTAATATCAAGGATCAGTGGAATAACAAAAAAAAATGCACATTAAAACAACTATGTCTTTAAGACCGAAGTTAATATCATTATAGTAACATTGTAAATGTTTTAAAGATCAAACATTATATCATGGTTTTCCAAAATATTTCCTGTACGTAAGAGACACAAACCTTAGACATAGAAATGTAAGAGATGCTGGAATGAGTAGAATCAAACTGATGCTACAACAGGTTACACCTACATACACCATACTCTTGTAGATCTGAAATAAAGCAAAAAAAAATGACATATACGTTTACCCTTTCGCAACACTGGTTATATGTTTGTCAATTCCCCAATCTATGTGAGTACACTTATAGAGCTGTGGATTTAACGTCTACTATACATCAACCCTTAAACACTATACATAGACTTTACGATGGTAACATACTAAGTTTGATTTGCTGATATAAAAATCGACTTCTAACACTCGAATGTCAACAGCCGTACTACCAAAAATGGTTCATGCAGTCATGGTATGAACGTAGCAGAGACATAGTAAAATAGATATGAATAACACTAACTAAGTATAATCAGCTTGATAAAGACTAATAGCAAACATTTTCTTTTTTTTTTAATTTTCTATTTGATGTTTTCACATTTTGATAAGATTCAAATTTCATTTAATTTAGATATACTCGAATGTTGTCAACATGAAATACCCTGAGATTAAGACATGGCGTATAGTCCGTCCATTCTCTGTTAGAAACTGGGTCCCTCCACCATGTGCCATTCTTTGTACATTTCTTCGTAGCATAATCTGAAATCAACAACGTTTTTTTTTTCATTTTCGGTTTTAAATCTGCATTAGAATATTGCTTACATAGTTTATGGTCAAGAATATGGTCAAGAATATGGTAAAAAAACATGAAGAAGAAAACATATATAAAAGTCAAGTTAGGTTATAAAAAAATCACTTTAGCTATGTTATAATTGTATTTTATATTCACCTTTCATGCCATAATATTATTAGTTACATAGTGTGCTAGTGACATTATACGATATATATGCGGTCAGTAAATTCAATATGGGGTGAGAGCAAAGATCGAACCCCATATGAAATTAACTGACCCCATATATATCGTTTTGGGTCACTAGCACACTGTGTAACGAATTTATCTTACCGACTATCTTAACATCGGGCATTTAGACTAGTGGCCTATCAAAGTGATCAAGTCTTCAATATTAAGAACCTAATTCCATTGGTCGATACAAAAACAAATGCCAACAAAAACAACTTGTTAGCTTTTAATGTGTTTTCTGCATTTATTTCAATCGTTCATCATCAATTTCTTCGTCTGTTGAAACCTTTCAGATTTTTCCCCAACACCGTGTTGTTTTTACAAAGGGACGTAACACCATTATTTTGTTTTTGACCATCAACAGCCTGTTATACAGTGTGTACTATATTAAAAAGCAAGGCGAAAGATACCAAAGGGATATTCAAACTCATAATTCGAAAACAAACTGACACTACCATGGCAAAAAAAAATCATCGAAAAACAGCATATTGAACTTCATTTGCATTGGTGTTGACACTGCAAAAGTCGAAAAGTCTGAAAAGACCAATTTTTGTCTGAATTTGCATGAATTTTTACTCGACATTCTTTCTTTGTCTGAATTATTTTTAAAACTTCTTAACATAGTATGAATTTGTCTAATAAGGTTCTTGATTTTTCTTAATAAGTGTCTTGACAGTATTAACAGTGTAAAAACATTTCTCGACCCTTTCTGTATCATCTGATAAGAGTCTTGATTAGTCTCGACCAATTCTTGATTGTCTTAAATTAGTTTCGATCAGTCTTGACATATTCTTGACATTCTTAATAATGTCTGAATATATCTCGACACATTCTTGAAGGTCTTAAAGATGTCTTGACACTATCTCAAAAGTATAAATTTCGCCTGAATTCCGCACTGTTTTAATAAACACTTTCTTTTGCTGTTATATACTCATTTTTATTATCGCTAAACTGAACTTAGAAGAATCAAGGATTTGTATAGTAAGATACCCTTTGGGTGCCCCTGAGTGGGAGTACCCCGAATGACCCCCATGTAGTATAATTTTGATTAAGTTTTTATTAAACGTTTAATTAAATTGTTTTCACATGGAATATATGTCGAAGTTACTGACAAAAAGCATTTGAGATTTTTGCCGGTCGAAAAAATGCCAGTCTTTACATCTTTATTTCTCATAAAGCCAATGCATTACATCAGTACAGAGATAACAACAATAACTATTTACAATATATACAAAACAAGGAGAGAGGTTACAGAAGTCACAAGCCAGGAGGACAAACAAAAGTATTAACATTTTTTATAAATAAACAAAGTTTCTTCAGGACTGGTTTCCGTGTACTCGACATAAGTTCCGAGAATTTAGATGTATTATGTCGTTGTACAAAATAGGAGGATAAATACTCTGTACGTTTTTGATCGAAAAAAGTACATTCAAATATATAGTGATATTCGTCACCGATTTGTCGATTGTTACATTGATGGCAAACACGGTTTTCTCTCAATACGTTTTGCCACCTTCCTGTTTCAATCGGCAATTTGTTATTAGTCGTTCTAAATCGACAAAGAACAACGGCATCTTTAAAGTCCAAAATATTAAAATATTCCTCAAATTCCAAGTTTTTCTTAAAAATTTTGTAGTTTATAGCTTTTGACGAATTTTGAATAAGGGAATGTCAATTCTGAAGAAACTGGTCTAATAATCTTTGCTTTATAACAGTTTTTAACCAATCTTTATCTATATAATTTTGTGTTTCCCATATATATGAAAAACCACAATCTTGAAATATTTTTTTGACAAATAGAATCCATTTAGTCTGCATATTATAATGAGCGTTCATATGGCGAGAAAGTTGATACAATATAAAGGAAAACTTTGCTTGTTTGCCGTAAATCAAATTTGCCCAAAATAATACTGCTCGAACTTTTATATCTATGTCAACCGGATGGCGACCTAGTTCCCCGTAAACCATATAATTTGGTGTTGAGGATTTCAGATTTAAAAGTAATTTACAGAATTTTAAATGTATCTTTTCTAATACCTCATTATTACTAAAACCCCATACTTCGCACCCATACAACAGAATGGGCTTGACAATTTTGTCAAAAAGATCTAGCTGACATTTTATGGAAAGCTGATACATCCTTCCCATTTTCAGGACTTCGTACATGGTCAAATTTGCTTTACTAAAATGGATGACCTGAGGCAGTTTTAAAATGTGACCGTGTGTCTCTTTTGAATCCTACCATTCTTTTTGTGCGTGTGTGTGGCTAAAAAGGGGGACCTTGATTTTTTTCGTTTGGGAAAAAGAATTTGTTCCCATCTTGATTCAAAAACTTTTTTTATCCAAAATTGAGTGTTGTATTTCATAATTTTATTTCAAAACTAAATATTTCAATTTGATATTCCCTCCTGATTTTTTCCTCAAAAAATCATAGAACAAAAAAAATGTTTAGATCTTAATTATGCATGTCTGTGTGAGATCCATTTCTATAGAAATCATTGATAGGACCCTTTATAAATACAGTTTTCCCGGAGTCGATAATAATTTTCTTTTAATCTTTTGGAAATTATCGGATTTGTTTTATGTTTAATTATTTCACTTCATAATTTGATGAAGAAAATCCATTTTAGTTCTAAAATTTTTAATTAAAATGAAGATTTTCATTTTGATCTAACGACAAACTTTTAAAATTGTAGTGATCAGTCAACTGATAAGTTGCATTGCTGATCTTACTATACAAATCCTTGATTACAGGTAAAGCAGTAATTTTCCGGTTTACTCCTGGTTTGCCCACATTTAATTATACCAATTATCTATTAGTAAAGAAAACAAAAAAGACAAAAGGTTTAATGAGCATACAATTGTATAGTCTGTTCCAACTTAATAGGTTTATAGTTTATCTGTGTTTTCATTCAGGTATTTTTCATTTTGTAGTTTATATTTCTATAGATAAATGATAAATAAATCGAACATTTGTTTCTCAATAATTTAATATCAATTCAAGCGATTAATTTGACATACAACTAATAACAAAACAATTATGATATAAATACACCAATATATGATAAAATTGTCTTTTATTGCAGACATAATTTATATCATTTATGAATCAAATTTATACATGCATTGCATAAATTTTTTTTTAAATAAAATAAATTATTTTATTATAGTGTCACATATTTGATCAGACAATATATATATACAACAATTCATAATAAAAACAGAGATCAAATATCCAGCCTTTGAATAGACTTATGAGACACTTTAAAACATATCAGACAACTGTACATTTATATCAAAAAAAATATATATCCTTATAAAATTCAAAAAATATAATATAAATACACCAATATATGATAAAATTGTCTTTTATTGCAGACATAATTTATATTATTTATGAATCAAATTTATACATGCATTGCATAAAGAAATAAATTAAGCACTATGGTAAAAATCAAGTAATAAGGGGCACTATATGTGACCAAACATGAAATTTTGGGTCCAAATGAGGTCCATGGTGCAAAATGAGATTTTTTTTCAATAAGTACCTATTTGTAAGAGAAACATTACTGCAAATTTTGAGAGTGATACGGTCGAGTTTTATAAGAAATAGCCTTTTGTTACAAATGTTTTATCTCAATAGTGAAAAATAACAATTTTGCCCTTGTTTCTGGTATTTGGTGAAAAATTTAAAAAAAAACACATAATACAACAGCTGTGTTTGTTATTACATCTGTCTAATTGAAATAAAATCGCAAGTTTATTGTTTTCTGTTTGGTATTGAATTAATAATAAAGATCCTTTTTGTTACATCTTGGGATCCGTTTATTTGGCAATCGCCAATGGCAGTCATCAGGGTTTGAGACCTGTTTGTCAAATGCGTTTTGTTAAAATATACTTTTTAACTTTTTGTCCATATGACAGTCGCATGTACTGGGGTGTGTTTAACTTATATGGAATACCTTAATTTTCTGGGGAACATCCTGTCCACATGTAATACTTAATATATATTGCAACAGATGACATTACACAAATTTTCTTCTTTTAAATCAAGGATTTGTAAAGTAAGACTATACAAATCCTTGGAAGAATTAGGATACACTAATACTTTGCTATTTATAAAAACCACATTTTGGTACAATATTTGTGTATTTACCATATTTACATTGAATATCATGCATGTAGAATGAAATATGTCTACAATATGATTGGTTTTAATCATTTAGCAATTATTTATAAGATTTAGGAATCAACATTTTTAATTATATGTAATTAACCACATTTAAATTGGTTTATATCAACATACCCACATTTGTATTGTTAATACTTTAAATTCGTAGCCATATGATATTTACTATATATATAATAAAATATTAATTTTCGCGAACCATTTAGGTCACAGAAATTCCAAAAAATGGCATCAGTAAGGAGAGTTGTACAAATGATGTGAATACACAGAACCCGGATCCAAATTATCTTTGACAAAAAGTATTCATCATTTTCTGTTTTGTATGGGTTTCATGTCGATCCGGCCCCACGTCGATCCGGCCCAAGTCGATCCGTCCCACGTCGATCCGGCCCAACGTCGATCCGGCCCATATTTAAAGTCGATCCGGCCCCAATAAAAAAATATATTTATAAGGAATAAAAATAAAGACATATATTAGTTGTAATTCATAAATGTTTATGAATTTTATTATAATGTAAAAGGTGTACGGTAAAAAAAAATGGCCTTTAA